CTTCTTAAAATGCTATGAATCACTTATGAATGTTGTCTTGCATGTCACTTTACTATATGGACAGTGAATTACTCATAAATATGCTATGAACAGTCAATCAACTTAAAGTCTCAAACTTTGTGTGGTGGTGGGACAGGCCCATAATACTTATCCATTCCATTCAAGATCCATCCATTCATGTAACATGCACTTTAGTGAGGATAATGTGACTTCCATCACTTTTATGGTGAAGGCAAAGCAAGGCAAATTTATAAAGGACATTTCTTACAAAATTATCAGCACCCTGAGTGAGGAAAGTCAAAGAGGCACCACTCGATTGTACTTTGAAGTAATGCCAAAAAAGGAATCATTCCTTGTGATAACAGTGCTTGTCACATTTAACCTCAGTTACACAGGATAACTAATGCACAGTTATACTTGTGCCTTCTCCAAAACCGTAAGTGAGGAAGAACATCACTAAAAATAAAACGTCCAAAGTAATTGGGATAACAGTGTTAGCATTTACCCCAAGAAAGTTAAACTTAGTTTAAGTAACACTTTCCACAATAATGTATAGAGTGTTGAATGAACAGTACATTTTATATATGAATAATTCGTGTAAACAGCAGAAAGAATAGCATATTGCAAAAAACAAATGCTTGAGAAAAAAAAAAAAAAGTTGAAAGTCTAGGCAAAAATTGTCAAAACACTTTCTGTCCAAAGGGATAAAGCCAGGTCATTTTATGCTGTCAGTCCAGAAATGAGGAGTTTCACTGAAAATAATAAATACAATGAGGACTTTTATTTTGAAAAACATCTTTCGGTAAAAAGACATAGTAGTCCATATTAATATCATGTAAAACATGTATAGTTTATGAATGTTGATTTAAGCATTCATGAACATGTTATGAAGTGTTTATGTAAGGTGATATGAATGTGTCATGTAGACACCCTTCAAAGAAAGTGTTACAGATGATTCATACTACTCATAGGGTTCTTTGAGTGTTCATTTTCTTGAAGAATCCTCTTTTTTAAGACTGTACAAACATGTTTTTTTTTAACCCTATCAGGCAAAGATAGAAGCCAATCTGAGGTAAGGTAGCCTTTTAGCTTGTTGTCTTCCTCATCTGGTAAATAATTTCTGTTGTTTGAGTGATGCACTCTTATTGTAATGATAATTGTAATGATTGAAAACAGTTACTTCAGTTACACATTCTCTATCTAGCCTGCTTCTGCATTTGCCAGGTCACACACATTTCACACACATTTCAAAAAAGTCCACCCCCAAAAATCCACCCCAAAGCAGTTGTAATTTTTCCTCCCACCTTCAAGATGTATCATCAAATGGAGGATTTTGTAGTCTTTAGATAAAAAGAATCTTACACTAGAGCATAACATGGCACCACTCAGGGTGCTAGTAAGCACATTTACAACAGAAGTAGCAATAGTTACATTTTTTTATTTTGGCCAAAGGTTACCTTTAAATGGTTAATTTCACCCAGTGTAGAGATCATATTCAAATTCTCTCAATCTTAAAACTTAAAGTAAATGATTAAATTTAACTTCTTACGGTTAATAAACAGTCTAGTTTTTTAAGCTAACTAACTTAGTCAATGAAATGCTACTCTGGCTGTATCTTCTGCACTTGGCGAGTGCTTTGTGAATACAGTTGTCACAAGTGCCTGTGGTTCTGTCTAAACTCTACAAACATTTTTGACATTTCTGTGTCAGTGTGCTGTCAGTCATTAGGAAGAAAGCAACCTGGAGCCAGAGCTTTGCGGTAGTGTACAATGTACAGTAACACTTGAGGGTATTCAGATGGGGATCCCAGGCTGTTGGAAACTTAACAGACATGAAATAGCCAGAGAGTGAGACTGAGTGTAGAGGCTGTCAGGCTGTGCGCAGTGCCCACAGTGGGTGTGCTGAAGGGTCTGACAGGTGGCCATATAGGGTCATATAGGGCTTACACATCTGCAGGCATGTAAACAGCTGAAAATATCATGTAGAAAATTGCAGACCTCACTCTAACATGTGATGTCCTCCTTATTTACACCAGAGGTGTGCTCCAAAATAAAGTTGAGATAAAAATATTGTGGCCTTAAGGTTTGAGCCAATTGGAAGAGCAGAGATAAGAACGTAAAGGACTCTCAGAGTGCTACAGGCCTCTCTGCAGCCCTAAGTTAAATTACATGTTCTAAATGTAATTGGTTGCTAGTTTAAGTTGTGCAGTGACTTGGTTATGATTAATCGTGCTCTGCATTAGTTAACAAGTGTGATGAAATGTTCACCATCTGCGTGTCTGGCTTCTGGTGACCTTCCCCCTATTTTCCCCTGTGGTTTAGTTCCCCTCTCTGCTATTTCAATCAAGTGTGTTTCCCTAACAGAAATGGCAGACTTTTCGTTTTCTTCTGTACTGATGCTACAACACACACACACACACACACGCACACGCACACACACACACACACACACACATACACACATACACACACATTCACGCTCTAACCCACATAGGGTACACACATCTCTCAAGTACATGTGCATACACATACACTCTGCTTCTTTATAACATGACCTCACACTCTCTCACACTTACACACCACCCCCACCCACAAATACACATATCCCCACTCTTCCACACAACCAAAAGTACAGTTGATCAGGTAAACTACCCCACTAACTGAAAATGAAAGTTGTGATGAAGAGATAGTGGTATTAATAAATGAAATTCCTCTCCACCAAAACATTGTACTTGGGTGTTATTTTACTCTGGCTAAGAAAGCAAAGCTTGTGACAACGGACTGCACGCATATTGCGGTCTCATCACGGCGTCTTCTCACGAAAGAACATCAAGTTCCGAGAGTTTGAACAGTGTTAATCTGGGGGGTAAACAGTCTTTCAGCATATGTCCGAGGCTGGTGCTTCTGTCTAACCGCTGTGTCTGCTGAAATCTCTCAATAACATCTTACCCAAATTTACACCTGTTTTTCAAAAGCAGGGGAAATCGATGTAACCCGGAGTTCTAACAATTTATCCCATGCACCGAGTCCTACTGAGCATTAGCAGATCATTCCTATAACCTAGTAACTTAATGTTTCAAAGCTTTATTGAGTTTTTAATGTAATTCAGTACATACTCAGCTTAATATTATTACTTACTTCCTGATAAGGTTATTTAGGTTAGGTTTAGATTATTAGGTCATTAAAATATCCTAATTATTCTTTTAATGCTGGTAACGTTTTCTGATAAGAAGATTTAGGCTATCAAATTATCTTACTTGTAGATTTCAGTGCTGGTAGCATTTTCTGATAGGGTAATTTAGGCCACTGCCCTGCGATGGACTGGCGACCTGTCCAGGGTGTATCCTGCCTTCCGCCCAATGACAGCTGGGATAGGCTCCAGCACCCCACCGCGACCCAGAAGGATAAGCGGTTTAGATGATGGATGGATGGTAATTTAGGCCATCAAAATATCCTACCTAAAGAGCGCTACCTAAAGAACAGCGGTACGCTACGACATTTGACTTTGTAGCACAAACTTTAGTAAATCCAGCGAAATATGTAAGGAGCCGCATGTGTAATATCTCCACCCACGTTTTGCGCAGTCCTACTTCAAATGCATATGCATAGTGAAGAGAAACGCATGTGTGTGTGTGTGTGTAATAAAGACATATATGTAATAAAGAGCTATATCTATCTATCTATCTATCTATCTATATATATATATATATATTATATATATATATATATATATATATATATATATATATAGGTCTTTATTACACACCACATGTCCTTCATACACATTCTCCCACAAACACTCTACTTTATCTTTCTCTCATTATTTAGCATCATAAGCAGAAATGACTCTGCTTTTTTGTATCTCTAGGGAAAAAACGATGCGCCCATGGCAGCTTATATGTTTTTTTTAGCTTTCTGCACATTTAATTCGACTGTAGAATGTTCCACAGAAAGTTGCCTACGACAGCTTAGGCTCAATATTGCCCTATGCGTGTGTGTGTGTGTGTGTGTGTGTGTGTGTGTCTTTGTGTGTGCGCGCGCGCGTGTGTGTGGGCGCGCGTCACGTGCAGACCTGTGGATCTCACGGTGTTCGAACATGCATCAGGCGTGCGCATGCTGAGGAAATACACCGCAAGAGAAGAAACGATGGTGAATGGATTGTAGCGTTATCTTAGCATCCATCATGATGGATGAAACGAACATTTCTTACGGTGTTTGCAGTGGAAGGAGTCGATCGCACGCTTACCCTTACAGCGAATCAGCATAAGCGTCGTATGAGAGTGTCTTGGAGACAGCTGATGTAGAAAAAAAACTTGAACAAAGATGTTTGACCCAGCGTGGACTGGTAGCATTTAAGACACTCCAGCTGCAATAAACTGGCGATCCTTTAACTACCTGTAGGATTGCATCAAATGAGCAGGGAGAGAATGGAATCGACCGAAGATAAAACGACATCTCCATAATGTGATTTACACTCAGCCTTTGAGCTTAAACCACTGTCTTCCACGGACATTTATTCAGCCGTCGTTTTAATATGTCTGCCTGCTAAAAGCTTTTTTGCTTTTTTCATGAATGGAAAACTGATGGAGCAGCCGTGACCAAACGCGTACGGATGCACTGCATTTATCCATCGCAGTCTGTTCATTCAAGATAAACAACGAGACAAAAAGGATTCGAATGGCAAACATATATGCACGCGTCTAAGCCAGACGTATCCTCAGTATTAAATGTCTTGTCTAGATGTGCATCCCTTCGCCATTTTTTTATCTGACTGAACTCGACAATTTCGAAGTCCCATGCAATGCAATGGAGTGGCTGTCACGTCAAATGAGTGATTTCGCCTAAAACAATATACACATTTATATACATTTCTCTTGAGTCACTCTTGAGTCAAATAACAAACGAGAGTCATGTAAAGCAAAAGTTGCAGTACCCTTTAACCAAACAACTACTATTACTGTATGAAGATCACGGTTTCAGTGTTGGTTTGCCGTCGCAGCAATGCCAGTGCGTGCCGTGACCTCCAGGTTCATGTACAGGGGACTTTGCTCTATTCCAGATATCCTCTCATACAGGACTCCTGTCACCCTCCCCGAGGATGAAGTGGAGGGTAAGTGATAACTTCTTTTTCTTCAAGCTCCCATTCGTTCTCATGAGTTTCCTTTACATTGAGGTCTGGGTAAAAAACTCTGCGCAAGTTGAAATTTCAGAACCCTGGACAGTTCCCCTTTGGACTGCCATCTGGGCGTAATATTTTGCCAATTATGGCGACCACCGCCATTGTCAAGCCGTTTGGGTAATTTCAGAACCGTTGCGTTTACAATCTAGAGCCGTCCTGTGGTGGAAAAACCGAGGACAACATCAGAGACAGATCTAATTAGCCACTGCTTTCCAACCATGCTTGAGACAGCATGTGTTTTCCACCTGTTAAAAATGAGCAGCTGAGGCATATTTTGACTGGGATTTGATTTTCATCTCCATTAACATTTCGACCAAACCTTTCCTAACCAGAGGCTATGTTAAACGAATGATAACATTACACATTGTGGTGCCTCACCTCTGTTAAGTAACATGTTTAGCACTAGTTTTACTTTAACATAAAAACGTGTGCTGAAACTACTACCTCTACACATTAAATGCTTATTTGGATGTTAATGTTTGGAGAGAAGATACAGAAGGTATTTTTCATTTCTATGAAGGCAGTCTGCTGCTTGACCTGTCAGTGGATTCACTGGGTGTTCAAGTTTAATTAAATTAGGGGAAATAATGAAGTGCACTGTCATTTTAATGAGTGAGGGAGTTACAGCTCACAGTTTAAAGTTAGAGTTATGTGACACGCAAACATGCATCTTGTATCATTTTCATAGGTACTAGAGTGGCATATTCACTCCTTGGTATTTTCAAGCTGAATGCTCCAGTGTTTTTCAAAATAATCTCTATTGGCCACATTTGTATCACACAATCAAATACCATTGACAATAAATTCATTGTGTTTAAATGTACTTACTAAAAGAAAAAAACAAATGTTGACTACAAAAAGCACCTGCCAATTGTAGTTTTTTTTTTTTAATATGTTGTATGTGATAACTGACCATATGTAGAAGATCATTTGGCAAATTGCAGTTGAGAAACACTGGACTACTCTTTTAAAATCAGCAAATGACATCTTTTACAAGATGAGCCCTTGGAACTGGTTGGAACTCCAGGCAAATCAGAGCAAAGTAAACATTAATGTATGTGGTGCCTCTGCAGAGATCCGAGAGGCCTTTAGAGTGTTTGATCGTGATGGAAATGGCTTCATCTCAAAGCAGGAGCTGGGCATGGCTATGCGGTCTTTGGGATACATGCCCAATGAGGTGGAGCTGGAGGTCATCATCAAGAGACTGGACATGGATGGTACATCTGCTATATACATAATGCCATATAAATGTATTATTATTATTATTATTATTATTATTATTATTGTTGTTGTTGTTGTTGTTGTTGTTGTTATTCAACAGGGAAGAATACATATGCATATGTTCATGCCTTTTCATGACTTTGTGGCTGTAATGTTTTTATGTGACAGTGGCCGAATTCATATGCTGCAGGAAACTGAGCTGAAGATGTCATCATCATTATCATATTTAATTATTGTAACATTTTTCAGGTTTTTGCTTTTTTGCTTTACACCATTTAGCTGCCTTTACATCCAGACATCCAGTCAACAATTTGTGTCAAATGGACCAATAGAAATGGTTAAAAATTATCATTATATTAAAGTAAGATTAGGAATGCTTTTTTTTCCTTCTTTTTAAGTTTCCATGTTGGCTGTCCAAGCATTGGTTACAACAGAGATGCAAAGATTTTTTTTTATACATGTACACATTCTTCGTTTTAACCTTCACCACTGAAAATAGTCCAAACTAGTGCTATTACACATTGAGATACAAACAGTAGGTCATCAGTAAACTGGCTTTATCAATATTATTTTCAGTAATGATTTGGTCTTTTAAACCCTAAATTTCACAGTTAGTATATGGTCATGGAAAATGGTTGGTAGGGTTGAAAATAGAAGGACAAACTTTGTCAGTTCAATCTACTTTATATTTACCCCTCTTTCTATTATTTGAAAGCACTGTTGGCCTATTGTTCTGTCTACAGGTGATGGTCAGGTGGACTTTGAGGAATTTGTAACACTGCTTGGCCCTAAACTTACTGCCTCCAGCATGCCTGACAAATTTCATGGAGCTGACTTTGACTCCATATTCTGGAAGGTATGCACTGTTATGACCCTGAAGTAAAACCCTGTCATTTTTTTTACTGTGAGGCACAAGCTCTTTTTCACTGTGATTGAATATGAAAGCTGTTAGAAATAGCAAGCTATTCATACATTATACACATGCTGCAATTTCATTGCTAACATTGCTGCTGTTCTAACAAAACTTATTTGAATCGATTTGACTTTTTTTCTCAGTCATTGCTACTGGTCGCAATAATATGCTTCTGCAAATTTCACATCCAGTGTACCCAAGCTGTACTAAGACTTTAGTGGCATTTTGATTTGGTCATTTATCACACAAAACCTCACTCAAGAACCTCACCTGTTATCTGCAAGCTGCAGGTAATGTCTTTTTTTTCCTTTCTGACTATAATTTCATCAGTGTGATATGCAGAAGCTGACAGTGGATGAACTAAAGAGATTGCTATATGACACTTTCTGCGATCATTTGACGATGAAGGACATTGAGAACATCATCATGACCGAGGAGAGCCATATGAACAGCCCAGAGTGCCAAGTTGATATTGACAGTAAGACTCCACACACTAAACAATTCAATCCCAACAATAATAACCTACTGACCTTGGCTGCTTATATTGAATTCATTGTCTGTGTTTTTACTTGCTGTTTTTTACTTGCTTGCCTCTATATCATTACAGAGTGCCACCAAATTATCATGTCAATCAAATTGAGCTGTCAAGTCAAGTCCACCAAGGCAATTTCCAAAGTGTATTTCATCCAGCACTTCTGATGGGTTAGACAGTATTCTATTTTTAGCAAGAGGACACTTTTAGCTCAAGATTGTTCAAAAGAGGGAGAGGAATTGTTTCCGTCACATTTCTACGATTTTTTTTTTTTTACTGTTTCCATCCATCAGTTTCCATTGACCTTAAAATAATATTCCACTTAAAAGCTATCTTCTGCATCTGTAACATACAACATTACCACAAACAATAGTTTCAGTGTGTTTCTTTGAACAGAAAAACTATTGACACAAAACATATTTATAACAGAAGTGATGCAGCAAAGCCCCCCCCCCCAACCCCCCGGGGACCCGGAATAATAAGTAGCTTAAAAAAAGTGTGTGTGTGTGTTTGTGTGTGTGTGTGTAAGCGTGTGCGCTTCAGCACCTATCCACTGGTTTCTATTATAAGTATGTTTTAAGTCTCTAGTTTTTCTGTTCTTTTCCATATACGTCCATGATAATCAACAATATGCTTCAGATTCAGAAGACAGAGACTGAAAAACACTGTAAAAGCTTGCCTATTCAGTTAACAATGATTACTTGTTTAGACCAAAGCCATGACTGAAAAGTATTTTCAATGATGGATCACAATTGGTACTGCAATTTTAGTCCAACACTTAGTTTAATCCTTGCCCAGGAAATTGGTCCATAGTAATTTTTAAAAAGGCTTCTAACCAAATTGCATAAATGTGGCATAAATATATAAAGGCATGCTTGTGACGCACAGACAAATGACCACCGTTTTTTATAACTTATTTTAACTCGTTGTGCCTCATTTTCTCCATCTCTGTCCTCAAAGCAAGCCCCATGCAACAAGTCAAGCACACGTGTGTGCGAAAGAGCTTGATTTGTGCCTTCGCCATTGCGTTTATCATCAGTGTCATGCTTATCGCAGCAAATCAGATGCTTCGAAGAGGGATGAAGTGAACAACCCTGTCCAGTAAGACCAACTCTTGTCTACAGATGTTCTTCAGTATTTTTACATTTAAGGGACACAGTTGAAATGCTGGGACACACTTGAATTATTGATTTCATATGAATGAATGAATACGATGAAGATGCATGAATCTCTTTCCCTTTCACATTTCTTGCAGCTGATTTACTGACATAGTGATGTAAAGCAATACATAGAAGGACAGGATAATTCTGTATTTTTTTTGTTTCGTTTCACAGTCAATGTGATACGTGGTATAACTCAGCCAGTGTATCAGCAGACTTTAAAAGGATGAAAGTGAAAAGTGGATGAAAGTTCAAAAACATTGAAAAATACATTGAAAAAAGTGATGTCTTGAATATTACATTCACTTTTGTGTTTTTGGTAATAATTGCATTGATGTAATTTATGATAATTATATGGTAACAGTACACATTTTGTATCAAGTAAATTCAGTGCATCACATTTTTTTAGCGTAGCAAACATAAAAAAGATTACAAATGAATTGAAAGCCCAAATACAAAGGGTGTACAGAATAAAGGAAACATCTCATAAAATTGTCATGCTCATTAGCCATTTTATTATATGCACCTGAAGTATATGTATACTTTGTAGGTTTAAAAAAAAGGTTTAAAATGTATCCCATCTGATGCACAATTTCTAAGCCCCCCTGTACCCCATCCACCAATTGAAAAGGACCACAGCTGACCAGATTTTAATTGGGTGATGGACCACTCTCAGCACGGCTGGAGTTTTTAAACACTGTGTACACTTACTGGCTACCTTATGAGGCACACCTACCTTCTGGAACACCTTGCAGATGTACAGTAAATTACATTTTGTCCCTGCACAAATTGTGTCTGTCATCCTCTAGCCCTTCATCAGTGGTCAGTTTTTGACTGTAGGACTACTGTTGGCTGAACAGTTTGCTTGCAAAAACATCAGACACTTCTGTACCTGATACACTCATACCAGCACAACATACACTGCTATGGCACTACATTGTCACTGTCACGTCTGTGTCACTGCTATGCTTTTAGTCATCCACTACCTAAATAATATCTGGTCAGTGGTGCTCTTACCATTGTTGATTGGGGTAGAAGGTGGTTAATAATTGTGCAACAGTAATTAAAAACCTATAAATATAACTACAGTCAGTAATTATAAACCTACAAAGTGTACCTACGGTACTGTACAAAAGCACAAAAGTCAGAGACCATCAATCATTTATTTAATTTCCAGTCAAATCAGCCATTCAATACAAGTTTTTCATTTTAAAGATATTTTTGAGTAGATTAGATAGAAGATAATCCATTTGCTTAAGAAAAAAGAAAATCAAAGGAAAATAAGTGAAAAAACAGAATCTTCCATAACTGGAATTCAACAAATGATTAAAAGATACAACAATATTGGACTCCTATCAACCATGCAAAACCTTGGTATACCACCAACCAACAGTCACCTTCAAACACACAGTACTTAAAGCTTTCATCTTTAAGAGAGCATAGAAAATCAAGCCCCACTTTTGCTTCCGATCTGAAAAAGCCCATAGGTGTTTCTGTCCATCCTTCCACTGTGAGAAGACAACGCTATCGGTCTGAAATTTGTGGCTATCAAGAAGCTGTTACTAAGAAAAGGTAATAGACATAAAAAAAGAGAAGAAGTTTGGCAGATCAAACAATGAAACTGCTAATGTTCTCAAAACAATGGATTGGCCACCCCAGGGCCCATCACGGAATGTTTGTGATTATTTGGATTGTGAGAAGCAGAATATGCAAACAAACTTCTAAGACTGAACTTTGAAGGTTTGGAAAAATATCTGTGTATATTTCCTTGAAAATCTAAGAGCAAGTCTCCTGAAAAGAATGGACATTGTAAGAAAAGCAAAGGGTGGATACAACAATTACTGAAAAATTTGACATTATATTTAGTTGCTGAGCCTTATATGTAGTTAAATTGTGTAGTTTTTGTTAAATACACAAAGATATATATTTTTATATATCTAATACATAATGTATTACTTGTACTTAGTTTTCACTGGAAAATTAAATTAATGAAAGGTCTCTGACCTTTGCACAATATTATTTATACACTACATAGGTATAGCAATATGGCCAATGAGTACGAGTATTTAATGTGGTGTTTGTAGTAGTACCCCCTTTAGTATGTGTGCTTGTGAGGATACAATTTTTTTTTTTTCGAATAAAAGAAGTGTCTCCACACAGTATTGCAATATATTATGCCTCTGAAAGTCCAATTCATCACAGTAACATCATCAATAACTTTAATGTTCAAAAGACTTGAAGCTGAATATACCCAGTATTTGTTATCAGCTTCGTTGGTGTAACTCTTTAACATAGGGGTTACCCTGGGAAAGTAAAACATAATATTAACATAGTTAATATATTTTAAATTGTAGCTAAAAAATATGATACACAAAAATTGATATTCATTGCATTGTTCAATGGCAGGGCTTTTAAAAAACAAAATATGCTAAAATGTAAGAGATAAATTCTATAATATTTGAACATCAATAAACTATATTAGGCATCATTTAAAAGTCAGAGTCAGAAATGTTAGAAAAGCCATTTTTATCTCATTGAGTCTATAAGATCATACCTTTTAGATTACTAATTTTATGACAGACACTCATAAGAAGATTTGATCTATTTTTTTAAGTGTAAATGAAATCTTAAGCATTGTCTCTGGTTTTGTCGGTTGTTATTCTGGATCTTTCCTCAAAGACTTCCTTTTAGTGTTTCAGAAATCTCTGGTCTGCACCTTTGGCATTTGAAATTCCATGATTACAGCTTTAATGAACACTCAATTAATGTCTTCATAATGTACTTCGCTTGTTTTTAATAACTCCTAGCTGATAGCTAAAACTGCTGATTTTGTCTGTTTATAATATATGAAATTTGTTATGCAAATGAACCATAATGCAAGTGGTACTTCTTATTATCAACCTTACTTCTTTCTAACTGAATTTACTTGTTAGAAGTAAAGCTAAAAGCAAAGGGGAATGCCAACTAGCATTTTAACACAGGCGTACTCTGGGAGCTTTATGTATGCATTTCCATGGAGGCTTTGTGGAAACTCACAGTAGCGTTAAATTACAGATCCAGTCATGAGGATAAAAGGCTGGTATGAACGACAGTGTGAAAAAGATGTGTTCAAAATCCCCAATCTTTCCTTCACTGGAATGCATCATGTCTTATTATCCTATAATTAGCTTAGACACAAATTTGGCAATTCAAAAGTGACCAAAATAAGACTGAACCACAGTCATTATATGAAACAAAATAATTGACCCATACGTGCTCTGCTGAGAAATGTGTTCATAGTATTTAAGGGCAGAGCATAGATAGGTCAATTTCTCCAATACAGATTCTCAGGTTTTTTTTTACAGAAAGATGTTTTCTGTTTCGACTTGGTATTTCTGAGATGCAGCATGACAGGTTAATGACTCATACTACATATGTAGATCATGACGGGGAAAAAAATAATATAAATTTTAAATATGTATTTTTTTGGAATCATTTCTTTGGTTGTACAAGTGGCACCAAACAAGCTGATTGGTTTGAGATAGGCTAGTTGCTATAGGCTAGTTGTTGAAATGCTCTTCACACTGTCAAAGCTTCACTCTGCTGTGCTGATCAAGTTAGTCTCCAGTTTTCTTCATCCTGCACCACCTTGTTAGTCTGCTGGATTTGTTATTTCTGCTGGATTGGCCAAAGCTATCTGTTTCATACCGAATATGATCTGCAAGTTTTTATAATAGAATGTAGCAACGGTCCCAGCAATCTGATACCCACTGAAAAGCGCCAATGAATGAATGAGGAAAGCAGGCTTGACATTCTACAAAATGAGTAAGAATGCATTCTTTTTGGCTTTAAAAAGTAAGCAGAAGCAATATTTTCTCTGCAGACATATGTTCTTGAAATATGTTTCTATGCATCTAGCCCTCGCCTCAGTGTAATGGACAGAAAACAGAATTCTGTTGATTATCTCTATGTAACTGTTGGTGATTTATGTATCTATTTGTAATCTCAGTGCCTCAAGAGCAGGAGAGATGGCGTTGTTCTGTCTGTGCACTCTGTTAAATATCAGAACATGTAACCTATTATGTGATTTAAACATTATATATATATATAATCTTTTTGGACAACATTTTCCTCCGTTCATACCAGTCACGTTTGAGTCATGTTTTAGTTTTTGTCCTACTTGTTATTACGGACACTATTTTGCTGTAAGTGTAAGTGGGTCAGAAAGTTCAGAGGGACTGTTCACTTACACACTTTAAAATAAAAGGTGCCAAAAAGGTTCTTTGGAATATCACCATACGTGAACAACTTTTGGTTCCCTGAAGAACCTTTAAATGGATTCTTCTTTAAAGAACTATTTGTAAATAAGATGTGAGAATGAGAAGAATCTTTTTAAAGTTTAAAGAACCTCCATACTAAAGGCTTTTCCTAGAACTGTGCGTTCAAGCCAAGAACCCTTTGGGAACCATATATGTTGCTTTTTTCCCCTGGCAGTTTTCCAGTATTTTTGACATGATCATAACCGACCACTAACAATAAGCTAAAGCTGACACTAAATTAGGACAGCTATAAAACCTCCTTACAGTGACTGAAGTATGACAATACTAATCAGGCCTATACAGTACAACCCCTTGAGAAATGTGCATTTTTGCAGTTGAATGTCTGTAATGTGTGAACAGCTCACTGAGTTGTGCTAAGAAACAGTGTTTCGGTTCAGCTAAAGTAGCATTAAGTTAGGCTGAGCAAAACATCTTTGGGTTCACCTCAAGGCAACAGTTTCTGTGCAGAAACTCAAGAAACATTATGTTTTTTTCTGTTTAAAGTTTGTTATTGAGTGGGGTATGCACTGAAACTATGTTCACATGTGACAACACAGCAGGGTTGAATGAAGTTTCTTTGGGTTCATCTCAAAGCTACCTTAAATCAAATCAGTCAGACTATGAATCTGGTCTAGC